ATTCTGCCTCACTCTGGCCAATAGTGACTCAGTAGATACAGAGCTGGATGTTAAGAATGGTTGTTTATGTTGTTTACATCAAAACCTGACTCTTTAAGCCCCTCCATACGTACCACCTTTATCGACCAATGAAAGAGCTGCTGAGTGCACATGGAGCCGCAGTTCTTCATAGTTAGGCCGGCTGCTGGAACTGCAGACAGTCAGCATTGTCCTTGATTTGATTTGTCAAGTTTGAATGGATCTTCTGACCTTGAGCTGATGGAAAAGTTCAGATGATACGTCCGCTGTGGTGCCTACGGCTTATTGATCCATTTAAGTTCCTGAGTGGCTAAGACAAACAGATGTAAGTCAGTCAAAGGTGGGAAAATAAATCGACAGCCGTAGGACTGTAAATGCGTACATTATAATTTGAATTATTAATAACAGATGTATTTAAATAATTTGAAAAGGTTTTTGCTCAATCAGAAAGCTCTTAAAAAAAAAGCAGCTGCACAATCTGCGCACTCGCTCTGTGTTAGACTTGAACTAATCCCCTCTCAGGAGGTAATGCATACAGAAGAGAACCCCAAGGTCTTAGTGAAGCTCACAACACCAGAAGGTCTGCACACGACGAGAGCGTGGATAAGGTGGGGAAAAAACTAAATCAGTTCAATTATACCACCTGCGTCTGTCTCTTCAGTCCAACACCTACAGGGTATACAATTCATTTTCACAACGCCTTCCTATTTCCTTTGTTGCATGCTGATTGATTGATTGATTTAGTTGCCCAGCAGGCCAAAAGAAGAAAGAATCAAGCCACAACATAAAAGAATTGAATAGCTTGACTGGTATAAAGACTTTCTATAACAGCAGAATTGACCCTTGGGAAGTCTTGGGATTGGCATCAGTCATTTGTTATCAAGATTGAAAACTAAAATTATAAATGACAATTTGTATGTTTTTATTTTTTTCATATAAAATTAGAAGGCCTGTTCTAGCTACACGTCGGACAGATTTAAAAACTGAACCATCACAATGATGATAAGAAAAGTTAGGAGCAGCCACCTCCAGACTCATTGGAAGAAAATCCTATCTGCATATTGAATAAATATTTCATTGACTTATGAGAGGGAGAATGAGGGGGAGCAGACCCCAGTGACATGCATCACTCCACTGTAGACTCGTAAGTGTATGGAGTTTTCTCCTTTCTGGTCTATGAGAGCCACTTCACGTGCAAAATCACCCTGATGTAAAGCATGTGACCTAATGAAGCTGAAAATAGTAACTCTTAAGTGAAGCTGTCCGGCCATGTGGAAGTAAAGCCAGAAGGAAGAAAATATTTGGCTCATACGGAGTGTTGAGTGGATAAGGTGGAATTCATGGGAGACACGTTGGTACAGCGGGGCCTCGAATCCAGGTCACATCATGTTAATATCACAAGACCACCTTTGTTATTGTGCTTTTTCAATCAGTACCACCTGCAATTATAATCAAACGGTTGCAATGACGATGGTAAGAAGAGTGTCTGCTATTGCATTGTTTCTAAAAGACTGGGTCGAGACCCTCAGGTGCATCGCAAGAGTTTTGTTTTGATGTGGGTCGTCTCACATCATGTTTCCCAGGAGTTTATGAATAATGTCTATTGACTTGGATCGTGAAGGTGTGTGGCGTTTACAACATGGGTCCCAGAAAAAAAGGTTTGGGAAACACTGGCCTACTGTATGTCCCAGAACTGAGTATTATTACATTGTTTGGGAAGTCTGTGTTAAACAAGTCGCTCTCTGTATTACTAAGTGGCCTTGAAGTAGCTGTCAGTTTCAGAAAGGTTGGTGAGCCCTGATAAGTGCACATAAAAACATCAGAGGAGTCTGACTTAGGCTTGGGAGCCATGGGAAAGGCACACACTTCTCAAGAAAACAACACAAACAAAAACGAAACGAAAGAAAGCAAATGTAGCACAATTCAATGTATGGCATATGAGCAGCGAATGAAAACAAATCTGTAAACAGCACCGTGTGACCGCTCAGCGACCAGTTCAAGAAACTACAGGCCAGTAGCTGTTGTTTAAGCTAAATGTTAGCATAGTATCTGTATTTTCCTGATTTGGTCATATTTGAAGGAAATAAATGTTAATGGTGTTTCACTCATTTAGCTTCTACAGCTTGATGTTATTCAGGGTGACGAGGCGGCAGAAGCCAAGGCTCGGGCTACATCCTGGACCACAAACCAAACAATCAAACGGTTTAACCTACTGTACATAAAAGCATGTTTTTCGATTGTGTACGGAAACCGTAGTCCTGTGAAAAACACCACAATTTACCATCCAGGTAACACATTAGAGTACATACAGACACCAGGAATGTAGCCTGACCTTCTGGCAGTGATGCAACAGCACTTAGCACTCATGCTGTAGTGGCATGTTTACGATTGTTACGACCCACGAAATAAACCACTCCCACTCTCATCGACAGGTGGGCAGGGTCCGAAAGACGTCAGCGCGAAAGAGGGAATACCACATCCTGTTCATGGTGTTGACCACAGCCGCCTGCTACCTGCTCTGCTGGACACCTTACGGCGTCGTAGCCATGATGGCAACCTTCGGCCCCCCCGACATCATCAGTCCTGTTGCCAGCGTGGTGCCGTCACTGCTGGCCAAGAGCAGTACAGTCATCAACCCCATCATTTATATTCTGATGAATAAACAGGTAAGGCACGGGGGGGGGTGCAGATGATGTTGACAAAACCACGAAAGGTAGTAGGCGAACGACGTGGTAAACCAAAGCACCCCTGTGGATAACGTACAAAGTCCGGACATGGAGATTTGACATGAACAACATCTTTATTTACACAGTAAAAAAGGACAAATTTACAACATCGCAATCATAAAAATGGTCTTTTAAATATTAATTCAAGTGTTATAAGAAGAGAAATCACTGAAAAATCAACGTCAAGATAAAAAAGAGGAACACCCTAAGGCTGCTGGGAGTGAAAGACCACTTCACTCTCATTGTGTTCAGATATAGATGCCCCTTCGTTGACCCCCTCCTCTTCAAACAAACATTTGTTATTACCACTTATTTGTTGGACCATCCTCTAGAGGCAGTGTGTGGTGCAGCAAGTCCCACAACATGGCGTAAAAACAACACATGTGAGTGAGTGAGGAGGCTTGTAGGAGGATAAACGTAACAAGGTGTCTCTCCCAACACACTCTTTTATCTCACAGCTCCACCTCTGGTCGACTGATGTAACAACAACGACCTGTCTCTAACACCAGCCTTGAACCTGTTGCATTGAAGAGGAACTCAGTTATGTGCTGCTTTAGCATCCCTGCCAACACAATGGCTCTGGAACCAATCCTTTAATTAGCCATTTTAAAAGTCCGACCCAGGAACAACTCAGGATGCCAATATAAAAACCCACAGGTATTTGTACCAAATTGGGTACTTTTAAGAAAGTATTGGTACCTGTACTTCAGCTACATCCTACGGACATGCACTGAAATCTTCATATCACTATCTGAGACAAATTTAAAAAAAAAGTTATTTTCTCGACTCCTACTGAAACAACTTCATCGTCTCCCTGCAGCAGAGGGCGCTTCAGTTACAGCCTCGATCTCACCCCCCGTGCTGTGTGCGTCAGAAAGTGATCGCATCATTAAAACATATACACGTGGAATAGGTCCAGGGTTTCTGCATCCTCAGTGTGAAAGAAAGTAGAAAAAGAAAATCAGTTTCTACATTTCTTCAAACATGGACTTAGTTATCTTGTAAAGTCAGTGTTTGAGACTGCTCAAAATATCATCACCACTGCTATGCAACATACGTTGGTCACTAACAAGACACCGTTGTGTTTGTTTGACTAAGCCATCGTCAGTGTAAACATTATTTTATTGGATGCAACCAATGGTATAGTACTGTAATAATGGTTTGTAAAAACGTCTTCCCGATTTTGACCTTTGTGACCCTAAACTACGGGTAACAATCTCACAGATTCCATCGTAAAACACTAACATTATACACCCACATATACACGGTAAAGTCCCATTAAAGTCCTCTCTGTCGCCTCTTCCACCTTTTTTCTTGACATGCTTTTACAAATTCTTAGTCCTAAAAAGTCTGAGACCGGGGCTGGGTATCAAAGGTCAGCACGTAACGCAAAAATGTCTCAATGGATGCTACGGGCACAGGTGCATTTTAATAATATACAAGTATCTTGACAGCTGACGTACACGGACACAGCACATACTGTATCCACAGACCATTTCTACTGACACAGCATATTCTTCACTATCTACAGACCGTGGAGGAAGATGCGGCAAATCAATGAGCACAACCGCTGTCTTGGCAATAATTGATCTGCGGGACTTTGCATCAATGTGATGAAGTACTTTTTGACCACACCTGTAATTCACTGAATTAGTCATTACTGTCTGATTATTTCATTTAATTGTCATTCAATTCACTCATTACAAACTTGGCAGAGGAATATTCAACTGTCAGCTCGGTCTGTTTGACAGCAGAGTTCATGATACTCCTAGAGTTAACTCAATTTGGCTGATAAATATTCAACTTTGTGCCATTCCAATTATTTTAGACTCTGATGTAGTAACACCATGATGAAGAAGAGGGCGCTCTAAGTGTACTCCAAGTACTCCTTACGTTCTTGGATTGTTCAGAAAAACGGATTCCTGACTGCGACGTTGTCACGATCTTAGCTAGCCTTTCTGACCTAACATGACGGTGGCGTTACGTTGAGTTCGAGAGTTTGACAGCAGTTCAACATTGTATTGAGGAATGAAAATGTTCATTACAGTTCAGGTTCTCCCAGACACCAGAGCAGAGGTCTGAATATTATTTCAGTCTTGTAAGCTCAACACTTCTCCTCGGCAGACAAATGGAATACCTAAGCTTTCACAGTTGTACAATCTCAAATATGCCAACGGAGAATTACTGAGATAACAAAGCCTCTCTGTGTCTGAGAAAAACCAACAATATTACATATGACTGCACACACACACACACACACACACACACACTAGAGTGCCCAGTAGCAGATGTGTTGAAAGTCAAAAAGATAAGTTCAGGCCATGGTAATGGTATGTGGCTCCGTGACCTTCAAACACAGCAATGTTTAACTTTGTTGTTCTGAAAAAGCTGTTGTTCTGAGTCTCCGTCTACACTAACACTCAGACATTATGGACAATACCAGCCCCAGAATCATCTACACCATACAACTACTTACAGAGCCGTCTTCGTCCACGTTAATAAGTCTATTCACAGCGACGGTTTCTCTGATCAGTTTTCACATCTTTCAATAAACCACGATCCATGGCACAAGTTGTAAATATTTTTTAAACACAGTAGCACAACTGCAGCTAAGACTTTCCTCTGACCTGCAGCAAAACAAACCCACGCTAAACCTCTTCCCCACGATGAACATGCAACAGCAGAGCTCGTCGTAGATGTGACGCAATCCTGTTGAAACCATTAAAAGCCAAATCATCCTCTGTGTGTGACGGATGGGAAAAAGTCCAATAACGGAGGACTGAGAAAATATGAGACATTGATAGATAAAGGAAATGGGTTACACGCTAGAGGAAATTACCCTGCTTTGAGCTGCAGCCGTGAGCTGTGGTTTTGGCCACACGGTGGTGAAATTACATTCAATAAAGAAGGAAGTGAAAATGGGGGACGACAGGAGGCGAGTTGATCGCTGAGAATCCTCTCACACAAATCCGTTCAGCGACGTCAACACTGCCAGACCTGCCACAGTATCAGGAATCTGAACAGTCTCTGGGCAAAGAGGGAAGCGTTCGGTCGAGCACCAGGCACAGGGTTACGGCTTCTCTGAGCACCTCTGTTTTGGACCCATTCACTTCAGGTGTGTTCATGCTTAACGTGTTTGGTTTGATGGGCACCAAGAAAAAGGACAATGAAGTCCTCTGGGGAAAAAAAAGAACACTTCCACTGATATCAACAGGCTGTCCAATCAGAACCAGGACTTACCGTAAAAAATTCTGCTTTGGTGCAAACCAATAAAGGAAAGTGTGAACACACCGTTTACTTCACATCCTCAAGAAATATCACCAAATGTCTGAAGGACATGAACATTCCTGTGTTCAAGGCCTTATGACCATGAATTAAAAAAAAGTCCCAAAATGTGAACAAGAAATGTCTACCTGGAAATGTACGCTGCAATGAAGCTCATATTCCGTGTGTCGTCTGAAACCAAACATCTACGGTGAGAGGAAGCACAAAAAGGAGTAAAAACCAGATTTAGCTCTTTGGAGCAGCACGACCTCAGATCAGTAACAGCGACGCATCACTTTGCACTGATTAGCAAAAAGCCAATAGCCCATCTAAAAGGATGACTACCAGTCTGAATAAGTCACAAATCTGGATTTTTCTACAGTTTAACAAAAGTGTAAGCCTGCCGTGAAGTCCATCTGTGCGTACGATAAAGAGACAATCTTGAACCCTCAACTCAAAATTCCAACGTCATTTGATGACATCAGAGGAATGTCAAAAGCCTTATACAAAGCAATAAAAAAAAGGACAGCAATAAATGACAGAGGTGACAGCCTGACCATCAGTTTGAAGATGCTGCGCGTTCTTCTTTATCAGTGTGACATTCACAGCTTTACTGCTTGCTCACAACCCCTTTGGAGCAGAACAAAAAAAAAAAGAAAATCTCCACTGTCGCCATCAGTGGTTTTTTTCCTTTCAGTGAAGAACCAACCAACCATACTATTGCAAAAAAAACACACAATTTACATGGCTGAAACACACCCACCTATTAAAAAATTCACTCGATCTAAAAACAATGACATGTTGCTACTCCTAGTCAGCTCCACAGCTAACGTGGCTCAGCTAAAGCAGAGAGAAACATCCGGGTTTTTTTCATATCCATCTCTGGTGTTCAGTGAACCATCTGGATAAAGACCAGTTCTTCCAGGAGCCTGTGCGTTGATCCTTCCCTGGAGGGATATGGCTTATGTTCTTCATGGGTCTAATTTAAATCTTGTAAGCTTCAACCTCCGTGTCTTCAGTGGCTTTATTGCACCTCTCCCTTCATGGCCCAGCAAAGGCCAGTGTGTGTGTGCGCGCACGTTGGCATCCACAGGAGTTCTGTGTTACACATCTCAGACGCCGCACTGGACGGTGCTGAAACCAGGGAGAGTGACCCGGCCCTTGCTCTTGAGGTCACCCAAAGGGCCCACGTTGATCCGCTGGATCAGGTTCTTCTCAAACAACAGGGGATGGTAGGCACCCAGTGTACAGGCATCGTCATGGTAACGCTCGTGGTAGTGGCATAGGGCGGTCTGCCTCATGGAGGGAATGTACTCGTACACGTGAACTTGCTCGCACAGCGCCATCATCAGGAGGATGCCTGAAAAACGAGACAGATAAGCAGGTCATCACATTAGAAAGGTGAACTGTCCAGGTCTCTCAGCAGTCAGCTGAGCGTCTGACCTCTGTCTGCTGTGAGAACAAACATGGTTTGTCAGTGAAGAGAAAAGCTGACATTCACTGAAATCTTTCCATTAAAAATCAACACAAGTCTAGAAAATAATTACGAAGACCCATTTCAATTTCTCATTTAAACGTGCCATTTTGACAGGTGACAGGTACGACGTGATATGATTTATGATCATTATACTGAAGTGATGGGAGTTCAGCAGTTTCCCTGTGATGACAGGTCGGTTGCATCAATCAAGTCCTGAGAAAAAGAGGTTTAAAGAAGACAGTAGCGTGAATGCTAAAATCACCAACTAAACTCCTGACTGCTGCACAACACTACTCATCTACCTGGGAGGAAATTGCTGGAAACTGAAGGGAAATTCAAGGAGTAAATTATAGTTATAGATTCATGGATCAGATTCGGAGGTAGTGGAGTTTTATTCCTAGCGTCTGCCACGGAGGCTGAACTAAAGACAAAATCCATTCATCAGGGAGTCTTCCACTGGGTCTGCACACCATTCAGATCCTGGGCTCCAGTCTGACCGTGGTTCTGCAGCACATGTGTGATATTAAGTGCAAATGTGAAGTTCAGTTCAGTGCTATAAAAAGAGCACAGAGTGTACGTTCAGGAGAAACCTTCTCCTAGATAAGGAAGGAAAAAAATCTGAACTGAATACATTAATACATGAAAACGGATGAGTTGTGCTGCCTCAGCAGGTGCCCTGTGTGTGTGTGTGTGTGTGTGTGTGTGTGAAATCTCTTCACATGAGCTGCAAACATAGATAAACGTAATGTCCTGCCACCTTGGTGAGATTTCATTTCCCCTCTCTTTAAACTTCACCTGAGATTATTCTTTGGGGTTCTTTCGTCCTGTGATTGTTATTCATTCCACAAACCTTTACCTCCGCAAACAGTCCGAGGCACAAGGTTTCGTACAGAACGTCATTCAAAAATATATGAAATAAAGGAAACACCAACAACTTAGTGGGAGCGCGGCTCTGTCTGAGTGTTTTTCTGACCAGTGTTCATCATGTGTTCTGATGAGGCGCACACTCATGGTCAGTGGATTCGAGTGGTGACTAATATTATTCAGTTTGAAACGTTCTCTTCAGCATTAAGAGCCAACCATTTCAGTTCAATCTGACTCAGGGTACAAACCAGACCAGCTGAGGGAAATCATATTATTCATTTATTTTTCATCTATTGAAGATTTTCAGGGTCTTTACACAGTTATTACTGAAATGGTCTTCATCATTATTAACAGTTTTCATTTTCTTTTCAATTGTTTTTTTTTACTACTAATACTTTGACCATCACACTGTTTGACAATACTACCATTCTGTGTGTGTGTGTATGTATATATATATATATATATATATATATATATATATACATATACAGTAAGTATATATACACATATATAACGTATACAAATATATATACATATATGTACATACAGTATATACAGTATGTACTTAGGGAAGAAAAGTAAAGCACACACAGACTGAAACAGCTTTTCTCTAACATTTTTACCAATTCATTTTGCTGCAGCGCGACTGAAAAACAGTTGACCATATAACTCTCAGAACAGAAGCCAGAGCTCTCAGTCCTCGTCCAGTTAATGTGTTAAATGACCTGCAAGCATTCAAGGCCACTTACTCTCCTCCACCTGTGCAGCAAACCATTAGGGGACATTTTTGTTTCCCCGTCAAACATCGCTACCTGTTAGCTCTGAGGACATGAAAGTGCACTAACGCATGATTTCTGCCTAATCAAACTCTGAACAGACTGTTTTCCTGTTCTTTGTGAAAACCCACGTTATCTCTCCATCTCCTCCGCAGTTCTACAGATGTTTCCTGGTCCTGTTTCACTGTAAACGCCCGTCGGCGGAGCACACCTCAGCGGCCTCCAAGACCACGGTCATACAGCTCAACCGCAGGGTTTACAGCAACACGGTGGCCTGCGCCGTGCAGATCTCCAACGACTGTCCAGCAGGGCCGCAGCAAACCAGCAACCAAGAGAACAAACCGCCCGCAAGTCTTGAACTGAGCATGAATATCCTTTCCATTACTTCCGCAGCAACAATTTCCTGATCAAGCAAGAGCTACAATGTGAACCTCGGACTCCATATGTTTGTGTCATTCGATGGTAAAATAATCGGTGTGAGCTTGTGTCGTGAAGTGAAGACTCTGATCTCGTCTCTGCGTCTGTTCTAAGACTTTAAATGTGCACATGATTTTTTTTTAATGAGAAGATACATTTCTTAGGCACATTTGTATGTTCTTTCCTGAAAAAGTATTAACTATTGTATGATGTGTCAGAGGTCGGTTCAGTAATAGCCCAATGCACAGTGTTTTAGAATGAGTGGAAGGTGAAAGGAACATTGACCGATAAACTAGATGTTCTGTTCAGTTTAACAATCTATGTCTACGGACGCCAGGAAAATCAGGCACAGGAGGTCAATGTTTTTTTAAATTATTATTCACCTTAAATAAATACTTTGGTAGAAGACTTAATCATTCTTTTTACAAATTAAAAATACTTTTTTATGTTGAATTATCTGTATCACGCAACACACTCCAAAAAGTTGACACAACTGCATGTTGACCACTGGGGCAACATCTCCTCATACACCGACTGTTTACTGTTAGCAAACCTACTGTGTACCTCTCGCTAGCAGGAAGGAGTACAGTAGGGTTGCTAACAGAACACCTGCACGCGTCGATGCTCAACAGTCAATGGTCGTCATTGTCTGATTATCATATTTTTACTGCAGTACCACCAAGAGCCTGTAGTCTTGTCTTTAAAGCCAAAATTAATAATATTTTCTTATAAAGTCCATAGCACACATGGCTATGGACAGTCATACAGTAACAACGCAGTTCCCATGAATTACCACACGGGGGACATGCACATTCAACAGCTGTTTCTATATTATATTCTATTCATATTTTTACAGCTGGTGATGATTGGACACCAACACTCTTGGTCTCGTAGAGTGTTTCATTATTTTGACATTAATGACTTAATTAATGCAAAGCACAGCACAAAGTGGTGAGTCCGGCCTATCCATTCCTGCCCTTGGTGGATGTTCCTTTTATACTACACTTCAATGCAATCCTTACCTTCGTCCCAACTCTTCAGAGTGTGTTGAGGGTGATATTTGTAACGACTTTGAACCACATGTACAAAGTGTGTGCGTACCATTCTGTCTGAAAGTAGGGACAGTATATTTGAAGTTAAAGAACCACCTTTAATTTTTTCCAATTATTTACCTTGAAAACAAAAGACCTTGGCTCATGTCTCGTTGCTGTTTTCAGCGGTGTCTTGCTGTAAATGCCAAAGCTCGTCAAGCATAGATTTGTGCTGCAATCAGTGTTGAAGTGGATTGATGTCTGTGACGTTCGACTCCTGCCTCTTTTTTTATTTTTCTTCGTCCTGCTTCTCTCACTGCAAATGTCCTAAGGTTTCTCATCAAGAGCTACAGAATTATCAGTATACTTCCTGATCTGCATGTAGGAAAAGAGTATTAGGCCTTGTATTTTTTTATGGGGCTACTATGTGTTGCATGTTGGTTGCTTTTTTTGGTAAAAAAAAAATAAAAAAAAATAAAATAAATAAATCTAAGCTTCACCAGCCGCATCTTGGAGACTTGACTGCTTGCATGATACAGTAGTCACAAAGTCAGTCTGTGAACGTGTACACAGTTCCTGCTAACCTTTAATTTACTGTTCAAGTCGAGTCCATTCCAAGAACAAGGTCATTATGAAGGGCTGTGATTGAGGTGAAAATAAAAAGAGACAAATCTACAGGTTTACATTATGCAGCCAGATCAATATGGAGACGAATATGAAGGTAGCAGCTAAAGATAAACATCTTGCACCAGAGAAGATTATGAGATGTAGGCCACTATTGTCCAATCTCACGCCCTAAAAGGACGGTCATCAGGTGAAAAAAAAAGGAGCTTCCTAATTCACTCCATTCAACAGACAGAAAAGAAACACACTCTGCCCCTTTAATAATGAGAGTGGCTTCAACACGGTGGGGGTCAAACCTACAACATATATTAGTGTAATATTCATGTCAACAGCCTTGGTAGGTTCCTTTGCTTTAATGCAAATGTAATGACATCTAAACAACACTGCACGGCTGGAAAGGCTTCGCCGTGGAACATTTTTGTCACTAATTGCTTTCGGGGCTCATGAGTGTCACTGAAGCAGCAGAGGCTTCTCACACACTACGGTGACGTGTTCGCATTGTGTCCACCGCTAAAGGTAAAGCAGAGAGAGAACAATGGTGAGGGAGATGCTAATGCGCCATGGGTGGCATCTGTGTGACAAACAAACAAACAAAGTGCTGTGAAACAACGACTCAGAACCAATGAAAAAGACATGAGTGATACTACAGGAGGAGGAAGGACACGGTTTTTGTTTTGTTTTTTTAAATTGCAGTAGAAGAAAAGTCCAGTTCATCACCTAAAGAACTGAGTTTGTTAGAAAAAAATGTTTTTCTTTTTTAAATGTGTGAATGTGTATCAGGGTTATTAAATGTGTTGTTTTTTTTTTGTTTTTTTTTACAAGAAAATGACATGTGATTACCACAGTACAATAGCACAGGAGTCACCATGAGTCACTGGTGAAGGAGGTAACAGTGTCGTAACAGTCATTTCCTGACCCTTGACCCTTGAGTAATTATCAAGGCGCACCAAAGAAAACACGTTTCCAAAGCGTCAGTGAATGAATGGGAACGTTGTTTTTCTTTAACGCAGCAGAACTCAAACGCTGGACATTGATTAGATGGCAGTTCTGAATTGATTCATGCTCGTTAGAATTCATAGGGCGACTCGGGCGATCATCTCGTCAGTAACAGTTTATTTTTAATCAAATGACCCTGGTATGAAGTAAACAAGGCTGCTGTTCTTTCTTTTGGTGACTGTTCAGATACTATACACGATACAGTGGTTCTCAAACTGTGGTACACGTACCGCCAGTGGTACGTGAGTGCTCTCTAGTGGTACGTGGGGAAAATTAATATTTTCACATTTACATTTTCAGTTGAATAAATCTGAAACATACCAGGAACAATTAACACAACATTTAAACATAAACATCTCTCCTGTGGTGGAAGCTAACAGTGAAGGCCTACGCTGCTATATTCTAATGTTGGTCATCATGGTGGTACTCAGAGAGATCAATGTTTTCTCAGGTGGTACAGAGTAGAAAAAGTTGGAGAACCACTGCCTCAGGTGAACAACCCCGGTGACTAACACAGCCCTTGATCCATGAGAACCAAACGTCCTGCCACCTAGTTCACCTCCATGTTTCCTTCGAAACACAGCCACACTTCTCCATGTGCAAAACTGCGTGAAATTAAATGCTGGCAGTTACAGCAGAGATGAGTAACCAGTAACAGCAACATTTATTTCCAGTTATAAAAAAATAATATCTTTTCCTGTTTTGCCTATCAGTGATTCATTTCATTTACAGCAGTGACGTTGTTGGTTTAATGTGGCGTGGTTGTACATCGTCGCCATTTCCTGTATCTTTCATTTGATCTTATGCTGAGAAACCATCCTCACAAACCTAGATTTTTGTTTGTTTTTTTCGAACAGCAACAGAAATTAAAATGATTCACCATTTACACGAGGAGAAAAATCAAGAGGATAAAACGCACAGCTGGAAGACACACATCATACCACAGTGGAATGAGAAAACACCTGCAGTGACAGGCACATGTGCAGCTGGTTTTTCTTTTTTTTATTTCAACTCAGATCTGGGCCTTAATCCACATCCTGTTGCTCACAGAGGGTCGTTTAATCCGACATGAGAATCCATCAGATCTGATGACGAACCATTACAAAAACACAGATGGGTCGACTACCATCTTCTCCCGTCTCTCCTACAGAGACAGCAGTGCAGCCGGCAACACATAATTGTCTGTCACAATGTCCCAGTCAAATTGTCATGTAGCTGCAGTGAAGAATGTTTCAAAGCACTGATGATCTTACCTACTCACTTTAAAAAGCAGTTACACAAAGGGCAAATTTGTCCCAAAAAGGCAATTAATTTTGACCCACGCCTGCTCTACATCAAAATGACCACTCCACAGTGTCAGGGTCAGATTTGTCCAAGAAGAATGTATTATTAGCATTACCATAATACTATAAATACTATACAAGCTTTAACTACACACTGGTACAAATGAACGCAGGCATTGCTTTATCAGGTCTATGACATCAGTGCTTCCTTTCTGTCAGCTCTTTTACCAGAAGCACAAAGATTTTACACATACAGACAGGACATCACAGTGGAGACAGCATGTGAATCACCACACTAGCACCTAATGTCGTGTGAGCAAAGAAAAGTACTGGTGGGATTGGTGGGATAGTTCACGAAGGACTGACAATTTTTTAAAAAATGAGAATTTTGAGGCAGCATCAAAAATGATTTCTAATGTCCAGACGCTGTGTCACTGGAATTCATCTGCATGCAGATCGATGAGGCGCCAACTACAATAACGGGATTATACACAAAAGGCCACCATGGGAAGCGTGGTGACATTTTCAATTTCCTCTTCATGGATGCAGACAAGAAGCTGTTAAAGTCAAATCAGCTACAATAATTAGCAGAGAAATCCGGCAGCACAGAGGGAGTAAAGAGGACACCAAATCCTGTGGAGTTGACTCCATCGCTGCTGTTCTACTGTTAAACGTGTCAGTATCAGAGTACACACACTGGCAGTACGACAGTAGTGCAAATCACAGAGCATTACAATCAAATAAGCCTATCTTAGAAACTAACAGGAACAGATGGGACCTCTGTTGACTACTGACATTTAACGTACATATTACGACCTTTAGTTAAATGTAAGTCACACGTAACACCCATTTCTTCACCACAATGACACGATACACGTGAGTGTGCCGAATGTGTGGTTTGACAATAACACGCAGTAATTATCATGACACGCTGTAATTACATTGAAGCAGTGGTGTAAGTATGGCTCTAATGTGGTGCCTGGGACCAGAGGGTAACGCTACGACGGAGTGACTGGGTAACTGAGTCACTCATGGTTAGGGACGACTTAGTTATGGGTTACAGACACTCTTATTAGGAAATACTAGAGCTCTGTGGGATTCTTTCTTCAAGATTATAATTAATTATAATTATAATTTGTTTTTTCGAAAAAATAAAAAAACAAAACGATGAAACTGCTCAAAGAACAAGACCTGATAAAAGCGTAGATGAAGGACATGAGATGAAAAATCCATGCTAACGCTGAGAACCCCAAATCTAGAATCTAGCCATCGCCTGTGAACACTGACTGCCGTGAGATCTACAGAAAACTGCATTTACGCCCATTCGACATGCGGACATTGGTCTTTCAGGCGATGCAGCCCCAGATGTACAGAGCGTGTCAATCAGATGAAGCCCGAGCTCTGTCAGATAGGCCCAGATGAAGTGGTTTCATTTCAGTGCTACCATCAAGGTCAGAGAGCCTCTGAGCTGAGGGAGACATATTAAAATTGATAAACGGACCTAAATGTTTGCTGAAGCCGTGCCACTGTCTGGATATTGAACAGTGTTATCGCTATGAGCAGCGTTGTCTCCGCTCCGCAGGCCTGTCAGGTATTATCTAAATGTCAGGACAGACTTTAACGTCTACCCAGACACCGGCGGCTGCTCCGTCTCTTTTTATTTCATTCCTGGAACAGCTCAATACCAACGCACTTAATACGCACGTAATTGTCTTTCAATTGTTGAAGAGTGAGACTTTTTAAGCAGTGTCCCACCTCACAGGAAGTATGTATACGTATACTGGTCAGGCTCTAGTCAACAACACGACTTGTTTCTACACTACTGATGCACAGTGAGGAGTCTGCAGACAGAAGAAGATGCTTTATCAATATGTAAATCAATTATACTAACTGCTATAATTGAAAAAGTTTTGACTTTCATCCAAAGGCGAGCAGTTAGGAAAAGATATCGCAACTTTCGATAATCAAAGTAAACATCGGCCTGCTGGAGAGTTCGTTGGATGGATTCCCAGTGGAGCCATTTCATTGTTTTTTCATTGTTTTCAGTGTATGATGAACGCTGCATGATAACACCACTGCGCACTCCAAAGATAATAATGCCATCATGCCTCAGTGTGTGGACATGTGTTACTGTGTTAACTAGACTGACGTAAACACTGACCTCGCTGTGTCAAGTATCCCTCAGATGGTAGCACAGAAAATGTATTAACGACCATGTTTTCAGCACTGTACAGCCCCACTGTATATATTCCTTAAATGTAACTTTTTACTAGAGATGCCGACCGATATTAACCCTAGCCCGATATTAGCATATTATGTAATATCTGTGAGAATCGTTATAGATTTGTCCTCCGATAATGAAAACCCGATAACAGGATGCCTGAGTTTGGCCAAATGATGTGTGCACTAAAAATAGTTTTGGGGAAAAACAGCTGTATATTAAAGAGAAAGTCACTAGATGGCAGCATTGCATCACATTTAATTAATCTCATACTCATACAGTGGTTTGTACAGATAAATAAATAAATATTACCAGGCCTACATCGGTAAAGGTTGATATCGGAATCGGAAAAAAAAAGGGTTGGAAGCATATGCGATATGCAACAAAAAAGTTATTATAAAATATTGGACATGTTTCAATAGTTGTTTTTTTTCCTTTGACTGTTAAAAGAAGCTTGAAGTAGTAGTCAATAAATAGCAATAAATAGGACTTAATACATGTAGCCAATTATTTGTCTATTTATGCGAGGTCTGTGTGTGTGACCTTACCTATGAAACCAGATGAGGGAGGATTGGGCTGGATAGTCTCCTGAGTGTTGGCCTGGATCATGTCCCAGAGCTGCCACAGATAGCTGGGGTGAAGGATGTAGAATGCCTGGTCAGGATGCAGCTTACGATGCTCCACATATGGACCAAAGAGATTGTAGTCTGGGCTGGCGTACCACTGCCACAAGAACAACCAACAACAACGGAGGTGAGAAGTGAAAATTTGTAGAATTTTTCTTTATGGAAATAATTTGTAACATTTATAAGCTAAACAAACATAAACATCAGTGTCAAAATTTAAAAAAAAATTGCAGAAAATCCGGAAAAAAATTGCATATTGAAATGTCAAAATTTAATTCCTGCTAACTAATGTTCATATTTAAAGCTCCACCAGTGACATGCGTCTCAACAAAAGAAATCTAACTACCACAGCTAATTTGTACTCAGACAGTCTGAACTGGTGACATGTTTGTCAAAGAGTCCTGTCTGGTTTGCTTTAAGCACCACATATAGATTATTGGTCTTTTTAAGTAAGTAGTAATGCTGAAATATTTAAATAGAAACTAGACAGGAAGTTACAAAAACATGGATTTAAAAACCTATAGCAGAGCCTGACAATTGTTAGAGGGGAAGAAGACCTGGAGAGCATTCATTTACAGATCCTTATTTGTGTGTTGTCAGTAACAGATGGTCACTTCTGTTTGTTTCCCACTGCTGCTGCTGAATGAACATGGACACAATTCTCTTTCCACAAATGTCAAGAATTTTAAACAAATACCAGCAATGAATAGCAGCATTCCCAGGACGACAGAAAAATGTAAACACCTCCAGAAGCCATTTAAATGAATGTTCTCTAGGAAAGGAGGAGATTACAAACCACGCTTTACTTCCTGTGTGAAGTTGGCTGTAGAACAGCAGCCAGTGGCATTAAACTACAACAGATGATCTGAGGCTGTTTTCTCTAGGTTTTATTTTTGGTCATGGTAATAACATAAAATACCAAATATATAATACTGCAAATAGTCACATAAGCATTAAAATATGAGCCACCATTGATTCAAGTACATACGATTACTTTGAGCATGTCAACAGACATCAATGCAGAGGTTAGCGTTTTTATTCTGCTGTGTTTCCCAGAGCCACGGGGGTTAAACTGACACAGTGATGGGACCGCCGTTGTTGTTTGGAAGCCTGATCCTCCCTGGTCGAACTGAACAAATGACAGATGTACTGTCTGACATCTGGTAAAGCCTCTGGTCTAGATGGTGTCACAGGAGGGGTTCTGTTGTTCCCCATAATTGCTTTTGGAAATGTTCACAGACCCATTTCAAACTGTGACTGTGATGGAGACTCAGCTCTTCAATCCCAAAAACAAGAACCCACCAGATTTGATTTCATGGAAAAATAGTGAAAGCATGATTTAAAAAAAAATCCTTGAAATGTTAATTAAATCACCAAATAAATTAAATCATTAATAAGCCCAAATGGCATATTATTTTTTTCATATTGCATGCTCACCTTTGCCTTAAGCTACACATCAAGTAGGCCTTTTTCTTTTTTGTTTTACATTGGTCCTGTTGGCGTATTGATAGTACAATACACCAAATACACCTACTAGACACCCTATTTATTTTTTATTATTTATGAATTTGTTAATTCGTGTTCACCTGACATTATGAACACAGCAGTGTAGTAACCTCACCTAGTCCAATAGGTCTAATTTCAGTAGATTTGGACAGGCATGTTGGGGGCACCTTTAGCTCAGTAGACAGTTGTGATACAAGTGTCTGTCATTCCAGGCTACTGAAAATGGTACAAAACTGTATAAAAGCTTCGGATACAAAGTAAAATTGTATTTGCACTAAAAAAATAAAGAGAATACTCAAAATAGTGCAACTTATAGTGGTGTACAACGTGTAAATGTGTGAGAAAGCACCCTTTGAGCTAAAGAGGCTAATGTTGCTAACTTGAGAGCTGTGATGTTAAGTCACATTTGATGATGAATGTCTCTCCATTTGAATTTTGCAGATCTGAAGTTACTTTTTTTTTTAATTAAAACCTACTGTGTTCCAGTCTTGATACAGGATGATAGCAGGAAGTGGGCAACTCGCGTCACCTTAATCAACATACAATATGTATGATTAATATGTATGTTGATTAAGGGAGAAACTATTTTTTGATTTGATCTTTTTTTTTCTCTCTTTCATGTGTTACATGGAAGAAATGAGGGATTATGTTAATGACAGTATTGATAGGACTGAAGCTCACAGTTGTCACAGCAACTGTCAGGAAGACTACACTGTCTTTCATTCAAATATTCACTGTGTTTCATCCTTTGGCTGACAGATCAGGTTACAAAGCAGAGGGATCTGAGCAGAGATAATCATCAGAAAATAAAACACAAAATAGACATATTAATCAAGACAATCCTGTGGAGAATAAACCTGTTGCCAATTTGAATTTAAAGTTAAATTTAATTAGACTCTATACTACCAATTCTATCTATTATTTTACAACAAAGAATCTAACCCGCTGGGGCAGGTTTTTTCTTTTCTCACACTGTGCTACAAATCACCTGATGAAATCTTTTGACAGCTGTTTCCCAAGAGATACAATGGATGTATTTCAAAAAATAAATAAATAGAAAAATGTGAAATTTCAGCAACACACACATTTTTGTCAAGATCAGGTATGTCAGAGACATGCTGCTGATTGTTACTGATTGTTGAAGAAGAAAACATTCGCTGCACAACGACTGTAGAGAAGATGGGCTAAAACATGGATGAAGACACAGATATTCGTTTGAGGACAGCTTCAAGGACAGTCAGATACAGAGCAGGAAGTACACGACAGAGTACACAATAGAGAGAGTAGCCAGGCTCAGTTCTGAAGGATAAACATCAACTGAACGTTTGAGTGCTTTCAGCAACTAGCCTTCCCCATGGAACAAAAAACATGCATGGATTATCTGCAGATAGCTGGAATTGAAAAAAAAGAAACCCCAAAAAACCAAACCCGGAAAAAAAAAAAACCCCAAAAAACCAAACCCGTCACAAATTCCAGCTGATACTGGAAAATAAATTTAAAAAAAAGATTGACAAATCCTACAACAGTCAGTAAATAATCTTTAAACTCAGTTAGCATGACTCTGACTGTTTATATCTTCATGAACCTGTCACGTTAAGGTCATGTGCACAAAAGGTTTGAAAGAAAATAATAATACCTTGTGTAGGTTGACGTTGTAAGGTGCAGGGTCCCAGGCCACCAGAGTCACATTCTTGTAGATGGAGCTTGTGCTGAAATGGTGTCTCGGATCAGTTAGAATCTGTGACAAAGACGTGTTACAATTAATTAAATTATCATTATAGTAGGGAACATATATCATTTATTACTTTTATATGTCACATCACCCAATGAAAGGAATAGGGTCAAACATTTCTGCAGGAACATGTTATAATCCAGGGTTTCCCAGTGTCGTGCAGGGTGAACGCGCTGCCACTAGGGGTGCGCGAGATAAAAACAAATTTAACAGCAGTTTGGATTGTGTTTTTTTTTAAGTGGGATTTTTCCACACAATAAAGACGTGTTTTAAAATCAAAAGGTGAGATTAATAAATAAAATTAGGGTTGTGAATTGATTTAATTTTCTGAATTGTCACAGGGTAAATGTGGATTAATTGTGATTAATCGTGATGACAGTTGAGCATGATTCATCATGTTTCATCCAGATTAATGACTTAAAAATACAAAATAAATCTGTATATAGCTGGAGTTGAAAGATTTAAGGCACATTCCAAAGGTTAATGTTCCGTAAAGTAACAACCTGTAAGCAGTAGATTCGGTGCTGATGAAGACTGCAGAAATCGTTATAAGGAGAAAGACATGCAGTGCCAAACATTGTTGAAATCGAATTGGAAATTCAGCTGAAGTAAAATACATCTGTCAGTAAAATAACATTGGTTCCAGAACAGCAGCTTGGTTTACCCAAGACAAGCTTCATAAATAACTCATTTATTATTCATGTTTTCATCACATGAGGATCTGATGAACACGTAAATTTACAAATATCAATATCTCTGTAAATATTCAGCTCATGTTAATGATTCATCACCATGCATCACCCGGGCTCAGACCCTTACACACTCACCTGCGAGTTGATGATTCGAATGGTGGTTTTTTTCCCCACGTCTCTCTCGTATCCCGTCGTAGGAGCGGCGTTGAAGCGTAAAACTGCGTCATGAGCGTCTGAAAGGCAAAGCACAGACGGCGCCCCCTGAAGCAGATAATAAACTGACCTTGAATTTTACATCCTGGACTAACAAACTGTAGAAAACAATAGGATTGGAACTAAAACAAATCTACAGCTTTACTGCCATTTTTCAATTTCAATTTAAAAGTCATGCAATATATGTTGGATAAAAAGGGAATTCATGCAGCTGCAACACAAGGACTGTTCATTGAAAAAATATTTATTTTTTGAAATATTTCTATTATTAAGAAACCATACATGTGTTAAATGTCACATCCAGCTCAGTCGGCGGATCGCTTTTCTCTCTTTTCAATTTATTGACTCCGCTCTTCTTGAATGTTGTTTGCTACACTCTGGGGCAAGGTGTTTACCTGGCTTTCTGTGGATTTCTGTTTCATGTTATTGCTTCAAATCCTTAAAAAAAAAGAACAATATCCCTCCTTCTTTTTCTACCTGTTTGTTTGGTTCACTGTGATCCCTGAGATTAACTGTGTTTCAGCTTGTTTTTGTTGAAAAGAACAGACTGTGTCTAAAACATTTTGTTGCATTTTTCGTCTTGATGAGCTCAGTACTGACAATTGAAGATGTCTTATGTTCTGCTGAATCTGCCGAACAGGAGGACAAACCTTCCTGGCTGAGTGCAGTGAGTCGTACATGTTCATGAATTCAATCGATTTGGATACAAAAATCAAAAAATAATTGTAAAAGCAACAGTGTTCTGAAGAGCACAAAGGCAGTCGTTTACGCATGATTCATAAATGTTGAATTATGACCAGAAGCCTTTCTGGGTGACGACTCAATGCTCATGCTGCAGCAGTTTAATAAAACATAGGTTCTCTGTTGTGAACTACAAATGAACTTGTTTAAACTGAGAAACGTGTTACGGCACTCGTATGAATTAACAGGTCAGCGAGCAACAACCGTCTCAGTCACTGAAGGAACACTCTCTTTAAAAAAAATAAATAAATAAGACCGAGTGCATTTGATGGAAACATCTGGAGTTCCTTAGTGATTGTTATGTAAGCATCTGGGCCAATGTTGACAATTCAGAGATGTCATTTCCTGCCTGTCCATAAATTCATAGCCTGAGTTAAAATGTAAAATTGAACGAACTAACAAGTAAAATTAACAGATCTTGCGAATGCCTGATAAAAAAAAGTGTTTATGTTACCTAAACTGATAACGTTACATTTTCCACCATTTTCTTTTTATTTTAAACAAGTTAATTTTCAGTGTCAACTTCAATAGAACATGGAAACCACACACACACACACACACACACACAGATGATGTGGCTTTTTACCGTTTGATGGGCAAACCATTACAGGATCATTACGGTGTTTGAGAGTCGCTATGACAACATGATGACATCAGTGATCTAAAATGACAGTCTCCCAGTCTTGAGCACAGTTCACTCTAGTGGTAATTTTAAGTAATAACACAGAGATGTTTGATTCATTTTTTGGATCTATCTGATTGATCTACGTCTAAAATATCTGGCATACAATAGTAGCAGTGTAGAGTACAGTAGGTACATTGGTACACAGTGGTACTTTATAAAGTGTACTGTAATATGGCGTAGCAGTTTTGAGTGCTAAAGAGTACTGTGCAGTTAAGTACAATAGTATAGTATAGTACAATTGATATAGTATAGTACAGCATACAGTGACATAATATGGAGTAATATCACATCTGTCAAGTGTAGTGCAGCTTATAGTACACAAACAAACTGTAGTAGCACAGTACGGTGGAATGGACTACTGTAGAGTATTGTGAAGTAATGCAAAGAATAGTGCAGTGTAGTACGACACAGTATATATTATGCCCTGTACATGATAGGGTATTGTGAATTTTTGTTTAAGCCCATTTGACCTGTTATAAAAAGTTGATTATAGGATCCTTTCTAAAGGTCATCGCCACAGGGTTGAACCCACACGGAGGTCGAGTTCTGGTCTGTAACTGACTGATTAAAAATGGTTATCATTAGATACAGCAGGTTATTCTATGGTATATGTCCCTGCTCTTAAAAACATGAACCACGGCCTCCTGTCAGTTATAAGGAGATTTGCTTGTGAAAGGAGTGAGTTAGTGCGTTTGAATACAACGTTAAAGATCTATTAGTGAGCCTTTGAAATTAAAACTAAAATCAATGATTTCTGCCTTTTTTACAAAAGAAAGTTGAGGACAGATCAGGTTGTGGTGATACTTCTCTCAGCTTTAGCACTTTCTGCAGTTCTTTTCATTCGGCAATTTATTAAAGGCTGGATTTCAGACTCCGTCCAGACATAGGCAGGAGGCTGTAACAAGAGCTTCCACAGAAGAATCTTATCTCATGTGCAAGGAAAAGAACATTCTCTGTTTGTCACCCAGGGATGAAACAGATGCTATGAGTGTCTATGATCTTGTAGCCCTTGGGCATTACGTGGGCCTGGGTGATAATATAATACTGTATATCTGTAGCCCTGGCATAAACAGTTATATACGATGTTAGGGGGAAGAGCCGTCGAGGACAGGCTTGAGCAGAGAGTTGAGCTCAGTGAGCAGCAGGTTGATAAAGTACTACAGATGCAGTTATTGATTTGAGAGTGCTGGTAGAAAAGTTCAGTGAAGGTCAGACGGAGCCACTGTGTTTCTGTGGACGAGGAGAATGGTATATGATAGGGTGGAACTAAGGAGGAGCTGTGGTGCTGTATGAGAAGGACAGGGTGGTGGAGTATGTGAGGGAAGTGCAGGACACATCTAAGGCCAGCGAGACTGGAGTTAGATGTGCTATCAGAGTGTCTGATGGGTTCCACCAGACATTTATGTTATCATGATGTTTGCAGACGACATGACATTATGCAGCAGCCTACGCTGGAAAATTGTTTTACAGATTCCAATACAACAGATTTATAGTTCTCTTGCTACACAAGAAATTCTTTCTTTACAGATGTGGATATTTGGATACATTACAGCAGCATTATAAAGCTAAAGCCTGCGCTCTGAATCCACAAAACTGTCAAGAAGACAGATGGCACTGGTAACAATTACAGACTGGTGATTTCTGTCCTTGGGCCAATGCTTCCATCGACCCTCTTCCACTCACTGATCTGACAACAAAACAAATGATTCTCCAGCGCTCACTCTCCATCACTGCCACTGGTCAACTCCAACAGTGCTGATTGACATTCACAGCAATCCTGCCCACGGCAAACTATCCACAAATCTCCGAGTGGGCATGACCTTGAGGTTGCCCTTGTGGTCCATTGTGGTACTGTAAACACACCTGCTCCCGCCATGGGCTACAGAACAATAACAGCTTTTCATATACTCACAGCAACAAAAACAGTTGTTTTTGAGATGCAGTCAGATAAAATCAAGGCTGTTTTTATAAGAACAAGGACATAATTGATTTATGTGTACAAAGAAATTCTTCTTTTTGGACATTTTCGACTGTTCTGAGTTCACGTTTCCCTGAAGTCAGACTGTCAGCCTTTGGAATGATATTCTTCTTCACTTGCCTGACCTTTATTTTACACTGCAGTATATTTCCCGAGTGAGCAGTTCAATAAGAAATAAAACTCTGTTTAGAATCAAAAGAGAAACTGAAGAATAAAAACTTTCTAAATTTTCTGAGAGTAAAAGAATTAAAAGTTTTTGGGTTTTTTTGGTGCATACTTTAATTTATTTAACAAAATTTAAAAAAACGAAGTTCTTGCCTGTAATCCAAATGCAGTAGCAGATTCACTGCACTTGGATCCACCTCCGCCTCCTCAGAGTTTTCTCCAGCTGCTCCCAACTCTCAGCACAGATTACAATCTCACCTGGAGACACGACGGTCCGTGGACCCTCGTGCCTGACCTCATCTGTCAACCTGTCAATCAACACACGCTACTGAAAAGGGGCTCCGAGCTGATCTCTGAGGTAACTGCAGCCCTACCTTGAACCCATCAGTCACTCCGATAGCACACCTTACTACTGTCTCACTGACTTGTATATGCCTTGCATGCCCTCACGTGATTCCCTGCGACTCCTGAACCACACTTCCTCCCTAGACGCCCTATCATCTGCTTTCTCTACATCCACAAAGATCATAAGCCAATAATAACACAACGGCACAGCCCTAGAGCTGCTAATTAATTTGCTAATAGTTGCTAATACGTAAGTAAACCGAGTTTCTTCTTACAGGACTTTCTTGTGCTGTAATGACGTTTCTGACCCAGCAAAGCTCCTGTGGCCTGAACTTCAGCTAATGAAAACTGCTCACGTCCCCTTTTTTTCTTCTTATTAATGTACGACGAGCATCCAGAGAGATTGCGATTTTCCTGC